CCGGGGCCCCCGCCCCACACACCAGCCCCAGGGGACACTTTGCTGCTGCAGCAATTGCTGCTGTCCCCGCCCCACACTGGAGGCCCCCGGGGCAGTCCAGCTCGGGAGCAGCAAGGCCCGAAGAAGTGCACAGCTGGCCTGCATGCGCAAGGAGACACTTGGAAAGGAGACAGTTTGGGAGACACTTGGAAAGGAGACAGTTGGAAAGGAGACAGTTTGGGAGACAGTTGGAAAAGACGGAGTTTTAAAGGAGACAGTTTCGGAGACAGAGTTGAAAAGGAGACAGCTTAGGAGACAGTTAAAAAGGAGACAGTTCAAGAGACAGTTGGGAAAGATATATTTTTAAAGGAGACAGTTCAGGAGACAGTTTGGAGGGAGACAGTTTAGGAGACAGTTGGAAAGGGTAGAGTTTAAAAGGAGACACTTCGAAAGGAGACAGGTTGAAGGAGACAGTTTGAAAATGGATAGTTTAAAGGGAGACAGTTGGAAAAGACAGAGTTTGAAGAGATAGAGTTTTGAAGGAGACACTTTGATAACGGGAGATAGGAGACAGTTTGAAAGATGTAGTTTTAAAGGGGACGCCCCCCTGGGGCCCCCCTGGGGCCTCCTGGGGCCCCCCTGGGTCCCCCATGGGGCCCCCTGGGGCCCCTCGGGGCCCCCTGGGGCCCCTCGGGGCCCCCTGCGGCCCTCTGGGGCCCCTGGGGCCCCCCTAGGGGCCCCTGTTTGGGCTGGAGGCTCACCGGGGGGACAGGGGACAGGCTGCTGAACCCCCTGTGGACAGTAAGAGCCGGGGGGACAGACTGTGGGGTTTGTGGGGAGAGACAGTTGGAAGAAAGGGGGAGGGGGACAGTAGAAGCCCTGGGGACAGGGGCCCCCCGGGGCCGTGAGGGCCCCCGAGGCGCAGCGCGCTGCGGGAGGGCACAGCTGGCACTGGGGGGCCCCCCCGAGGGCCCCCCGCGCAGCGAAGGTCCCCGGGGGACACTGCTGGGCCAGGGGGGCCCCCCGGGGACAGTAGTAGCCAAGGGGACACTTTTCTTTTCTGTAGTCTCCTGTTCTTCCTTTGCACAAAAAGCCCCGAGGGCATGCAGTGCATGCAGCGGAGCCGGGGGTCCAGCTGTACGTACCTGGCGGGCCCCACACAAAAGGAGACACTTTTCTTTTGTTTGAGGAGACACTTTTGCTTGGGGAGACACTTTTGTTTTATTTGAGGAGACACTTTTCCTTTGTTTGAGGAGACACTTTCGTTTGAGGAGACAGTTTTAACTTTAGTTTGACGAGACACTTTTGCTTGAGGAGACAGTTTTAGTTTTAGTTTGAGGAGATTGTTTTGTTTGAGGAGACAGTCTTAATTTTATTTTGAGGAGATTGTTTTGTTTGAGGAGACAGTTTCAATTCAAGGAGACACTTTCGGTTGGGGAGACAGTTTTATTTTGAAGAGATTGTTTTGGTTTTAATTCAAGGAGACAGTTTTACTTGAGGAGGTAGTTTGGAGACACTTGGGGACTTGGAATTAAATTGAAGAACTTAAAGCTATAAAAGGAGACACTTGGGGATTTGAAATTAAATTAAGGGACTTAAATAAATGAAAAAGGAGGCAGTGGGATTTGGAGACAGGGGACACTTGGGCCTTACCCGCGGGGCATGCTGTCTCCCAAGTGGCCCCTTGGGGACAGTAAGTCCCCACCCTGAGCACAGCCCAGCAGCAGCAGCAGCAGCAGCAGCAGCAGCAGCAGTAGCAGCAGCTTCGCCAGCCCATCCACCTCCCCCTGCTGCATGCATGCATGCATGCACACACGCATGCACGCATGCACGCATGCATGCATGCGTGCACCAGCCCCAACCCAAGCACCCGTTATCCCCAGAGACCATGCATGCACGCACACATGCACGCCTCCACGCATGCATACATGCATGCGTGCATGCATGCACTGCTGCATGCATGCATGCATGCACTGCTGCATGCATGCATGCACTCCTGCATGCATGCATGCATGCATGCATGCATGCGCACTTGCAGGGGACGGCGTAGGGCGTCTTGGAGCCGGTGGGGCAGAGGTGTCCGGGGGCGCAGAGGCCCTGGGGAGCAGCAAGCCCCAGGGCGGAGCAAAAGTGTCCCTCTTTGCATTTGCTGCACTCGTGAGCAGCAGCAAGTTGCTGCCTGTCTCCAAAGGTCCCGGGCCCGCACAGGTGCGGACGCTCCGTCCCCTGCAGCAGCAGCAGCAGCAGCAGCAGCAGCGGCGGTGGCGGCAGTGGGGCGCTCGCTCACGAGTCCGGCGGCGAAGCAGCAGCAGCAGCAGCAGGAGCAGGAGCAGCAGGAGCAGGAGCAGCAGCAGCAGCAGCAGACTCTGGTGCAGTAGGCGCCGCGGGGACAGGGCCCTGCGGAGTTGTCTTCTTTGAGTTGCGGGGTTGGAGACTCTGCTGCAGCAGCACAGAAGAAGCCCTCGCTGCAGACGCCGGAGACAGTTTGGCTGCTGCTGCTGCTGCAGTAGAAGCCGGGGGGGCAGCTGCGGCAGCTGCTGCTGTGCTGCTGCAGCAAGTGCGAACTCAGAGTCCCCGGGGGGCAGCTCGAGGGGACTGCTGCTCCCGCCTCGCAGTAGAAGCCTGCGGGGCACTGCAGCGGGGCCTCCAGCCCTTCTTCGGGGCAGTAAAACCTGCAGCAGCAGCAGCGCAGCAGCGCAGCAGCGC